GGAGTGATAGGTGGACTGATAGCCTGAGCAGGAGTTGAAGGAGTGGTAGATGTAACTGGATCTACAACACTGATAACTGGTAAGGCTGTAGCAGAGGGAGGAGCAACTGGAGGAACAGATGGCTGGGTCTGGGCATGTGAGCTAGTGCCAGTAGGTAATGGGACTGATGTGATGACAGTGGACACAGAAAGCGGAATCTGAACTCCAGATGTGCTAGCATCGTGTTGCCTCTTCTGATCTCTCTGAACTGGAATCCATCGCTTTGGAGGTTCAATAACGACCTCCTTTCCTTTACCCTTATCCTTGGCCATCTCTATAGTAGGCTTAGGAATAGGGTCAACAGCTGGAGCAGGTGGTGGTGTAGGGTGGCAATGCTCCTCAGTATGACCAAAATGTCTGCACCGAAAATAGTAATCAGGCTTCTTCTCATAGACAACTGTTTGCCAATATCCTCCACACTTTTCACGCTGAATCCAAATCCTATCTGGAAGCTTATACTCCAAATTAACCTCAATGCATACCCGTGCCTCACTGGGTCGTCGTAAATCTGAAGTGGCCTCATCAATACGTAGTGGGATTCCAATGGCCTTAGCCAGGGCAAACAAACTACTCTTTGCCCGAAAGTGAATGGGCAATAATGGGAATGAAACCCAAACAGGGACAATAGGAGTCTCATGCTTAGGATTAAAGCTGGGCGTCCACTTAAAAACACGCATGAGACAACCATCGATGTACCAAGAGGGCTTGAGAAATAGGCGTGAGTAATCATCCTCATGTGCCAAGTGTATTAGAATATGAGTCGCATCAATAAGTCCAATCATATAATCACCACAAAAACCAAATTTTTGAAAGCTGTCACGTACCTTAATCATGGAGGGCTTGCGACGTGTGAATTTGCCAACAAGAGTAAATTTATACGGTTCAGAAAGAAAGTCCTCTTCTTCCTCGGTAAAGGCAACCGCCGGCTCTCCCATATGCATGAAAGGTTCCTTAGAGGTGAACCTATGGTCACTGGAGTCCGATGGGGCTTGCAAAACCTGTGCAAAAGACTTCCGTTGGCTGCGCTCAGCTTGGGAGACTACAGATTTACCAGAAAGTGCAGCCGCATATGACTTCCTAGCTTGATTAATTACTGTAGGGACCTCCCGTGGCAAATCCGATGATGGAACTGGGTCTGTAACAAAATTTCCCACATTCTGCTGAGGGGTCACCGGCGCGTGACCACCACGCGCCGGCCGTTGACCGGCGGCGATTTTCCAACATTGTCAGAAAATTATGATTTTTCACAGGTAGATGCGGAATTTCATGCTGATCATCACGGTATGTTCCGTTTTCAGAAATGAGTTCAGGATTGGCTGGAATCTGCGATTTTCCGAGCGACTGACCGTAACTTGCGATCGCCGGTGACGGCTCTTCCAACGTCAGAATTAGATGATTTTTCAGTCGAAGGTTTGCCTTCCCATGGGAAATCTGATGGTTAGGCGCGTGGCCTTGGTTGAGGTCCGTGGAAGATTTAATTGAAAAATCAGATTTCGGCCCCTCGGGATTCGATCTGTCAATTTTGGACGATTCAGACGAAATCTCTACCACCCCTACGGTTTTCGGCCCTTTTGGAATCATTGGTGATGGTCCCAGACCCTGATTCAATGCATAGGATGGAGTTTTGGCAACATTGGGATTCGTGCCATCAATATNTTAGAGTTTTATTTTCTTAACTCTAAATACACTTCTGGATGAAGAAGTAAGAACTGAATTACACTTACAAAATATGTATTGACTTCATAAATGATAAGTGTTTTAATTTACAAAATTATTAGTTTATTGCATTTCTTAGGATTTCATAATTTATGTCATTGTGTGTTTTAATTTACAAAAGCAGATTAATTTATGAATTGAAAATATTTTTCTCAAAAAAGCAAGAACATGATCGATAGCAATCGCCTGGAAATTTTCGATGATTTATTTTTCCATTGGAAATTTATCGATTAGAATTTCCTCCATAGAATTTTCGATGGGTAGCCGTAGTGATTGATGTGTTGCATTAACAACTTCATTTATCGATACATTTGTTCAACATCTACCAACTGTATCAACAGAAAAAAATTGTCTTCTGAATTGCGCTTTCTCATAACATACCACGAGTTTCACCATTGAGGTCTTTACAAATCTCAAGCGTAAGTGAGATTTAATATCAAATTGATATGGCAAAAAGCATGAAATAAACGTGAACGAAAAACATGTTGATTACAACAATATCACGAATTTAAGAATCAAATATTTATTGATTCGCCATGAATTAAATATCAAAAACTTTATCTTGATCAACAACTTCATTAATCCAAAAAAAAATAAAAAAAATACCAAGATTAGATCAAAACAACTAGGGGAAACCCTAAAGTGGAATATGAGGAAACAAATTGCTAACCTAATAAAAATTACATCATCGGTCCCTATTCTCTTCAGAAATATATAACAAAAGGTCTAATAAAATAGAACATGATAATTTAGTTAATGGAATATTAAAAATTAATGTTGGGGATCGCATCATTAATGATGCAACTAAACCCGTGGAGGTTTGGGTAAATTTTACTTGAGTCCCAAACCATTGAAGGTTATGATTTATTGCATCTAGAATTTCAAACCTTAAATGTCTGTGTCAAAGGCCATTTTGTAGGAAGAATCTTTAGTGGAGCGGACGCATTACCCACGTGGTGTGCCTGTCCAATGATGAGGCGCCACATCGATGACGACCCACGTGCCTAAGGGTGTGTAGTAGGCCACCTATCGAGATGACGCACCTTGATAGGGCGGTCGCACCGTCACGTGGTGCAACGGCCCTACTGAAAATTCTCTCATTAGTGATGAAAATGATCGGGTTGACCATTAATAAGTCAAAATTTGAGTAAAAGTGAAACAACTATTTTGCCTTTTGTTTGATTTTTATTTTATTTTATTTTTTTAACGAAGAAAGAAAAGTAACAAACCCGACAAACACATCTCTTTCCTCCGAATTACGGGAGATTTTCCCATAATTTTTCCTCAATGTACACAAACGAAAAAATTGTAGAGAAAAAAGCTATAAAAAATCTCTTTCATCGTCCAATCTCATCTACCACCCATCATTTTCACCGCCGACATTGACGATGTTGATAAAATTGATCGTATGATGTTCTTGTTTTTCATTATCATGAAGTGGTCATTTACAAGGAAAGCAATAATGAAAATTTTGTTGTGAATAGTCATCTGATAAATGCTTGTGACAACTACTAAAACAAGAATTTTGACTAACGTGGCAGATGTTAACGGAGATGCTATCTCTTCATGCTAAGGGTAAAATGTTCATCTATAATATATTAAACATTACATCAAGTGACAATTATTTTTGGCCGATTTTAATTATTTCAAAAATAATTTACTGTTAATTTCTCAATATGTAATAAATACTACAAAATCATTATTATGTATGAATTTAGAGTTATTAATTCTCAATTAATTAACATTCATATTAATCTAGATTCAATGAATCTTGAGTCCTTGACTTGATGAATCTTGATCTGCATAAATCTAAAGTTATCACTGATGACTTTATTTCTATTCATGTATTTATGAATTTCAATGGGTGTTTAAATTTATGTATTAGCAATTAATTTTTATGTACCAAAAATAATATAAAAATATTGCTTATTTGAAGTATTTCATCATCACAAAATAATTTGAAACATAAAAGTTGAGTTTTGAGAGTACAATTTTCTTCTCTTAAATTTCTATCCTAAATTTTATTTTCTTTAGTTCATTTGAGACTCATCAAATCCTTCTAATAAATTGGTATCCAATATATCTTTTACAACATTTATAAAGTATTTCAAAATAACGTGCAATATACATTCAACTCTGACTAGTTTACTTTGACTTTTGATGGTTCCATCACAAAAGGACCATTGGCATAGACGTTTGAAATGTTTGGGACTTCAGATCTTAGAAATCATAGCTATTGGACTCCAAGTATTGATTGCATATCTTTCTATATTTTTCTTTCCTCTTTTTTTTTTTTTTTTTAAGAGAAGGTGAGGTGTGACTATATGCATAATTAGCTCTAATTTTGACTTTACTATCTTCTTCTTCGAAAGTCTGTTAAGTTAAAATAAAATTAATTGACACACTTGCAAGTAAGAGGGTACTCCGATTTAGGTTGTCTACTCTGTTCTCTAAAGTGAAAAAGTGTGCCAAAAAATAATAATACTAATAATAATAAAATAAAATAAATAAATAAAAAGGTCAATTTAAAAGAACAAGTTTAAAGTAGATATAATATATTAAATGATCCATGAATTAACCTGTGAAGTCTGAGGTTGAATGTGCTATGCACAGTTATGCCATTTTCGAAATTTTTTTTTTTTTTCCAAATGTTTTTCTTGCGGGTTATGCTCGAGTACAAGGTTTTTAGTTTTTACAAAATAAATATAAGGAGGATGTCCTTCATAAACTACCAACTTCATAATTATTTTTCGTGAGATATAGCATAATGTGGCTGTAGTTTAGTGGTGAGAATTCCACGTTGTGGCCGTGGAGACCTGGGCTCGAATCCCAGCAGCCACATCTTTCTTTTAGTGGTTTTCGATCTCCCTTTGCAACTGCAATTTAGAGAATCAAAATGGTAATTATTATCGATCCAGTTTGGACTTCTAGTGGTAACATTGGGCTTTCAGTTAGACAAGCTCACGAGCTTCTAATCTTAAGAGTTAACTTGGAATATATCATAATCTTCATTAATTGGGCCGACACTTGGACATAGCTCCAAAATGGTTCCATTTTCTATTAAAAAAGAATCGATATGAATTTTGATAAGGTATAGTTTTTTGGGGAAAATACATAATATCAAATCTTTAAGGATTACGATTCAAAAATCAGAGATAAAGTTCCATTACTCACAAATCAGATATTAATATAATAATTAAATATATCCACCCAATTCAATTCCAAACTCTAATCAATTCATTATCAATATTGCTATACGTACAATGTCTTTTGACAATTTTGCATTATAATCTGACGTGGCATTATTGAAAAAAAAAAATGAGGTGAAAAAGAAGGAAAAGGAAACATGGCCACTGGGAATAATAAAATGGGCGCCAAACCAAACAAATAACATTGGTCAATACCCAGTTTCCCGCAAATTCCACGAGAGCACCCCAAATATCTCATGCCATTCAAAGCCCAAATCGTCACAAACCCATCCTCCCGACTTGATTTCCGTTTGTGAATAGTAGCTGGCATAACATTTTACAGCTTGTACAAGTTGGGTCGAGCTGCAGTGAGTCATTTTACAGAAGAACTCTTTCCTGACGACTACAGCTACAGTAAAATGTGTGAATTGTTTTTGCAAAATTTCATAATTATTTTCTTTGGGAATCTGGAAATAATGTTGGAATATTATGATAATTTAGGGGAAAAAACTGGAATGAGTATAATGTGGTTAAAATTATGGTTTTGTTTGAGAAATGAAACTGAAGGGCATACTTCCCGGCTCTTCTAAAATGTCAGTAGCTGTATTTTTATTTTTATGGAGTTGAATAATTGGTTTTATGGCATATATGAAGTTCACTAAATGTATACTAGATAAATTTGATGAGAAGTTCATATTGATGTATGTGAAAACGAATGTTGGGTCCTCCGATCCAATCCCAACCTAAAATGTTGCTATGATTTATATGTATTGTTGAAAAATTATGGAAAGATTATGGTTTTCTGAATGTGACGGCTAATTTTGATACAGGAGAAATTATGGCAGAAGTGGAACATGATTTATCGATAGAACCCGAAAATGAGAACATTGAAGACAATATAAATGTATGTGAAGATGAAACGAGAGGAAGCGATGGTGTGACAGTGCTTGCGGTTGGTATGAAGTTCACGAACAAAAAAGAAGTGTTTGAGTTCTATAAGAAATATGCTAACGACATAGGTTTCCCAGTTAGGAAACGGGATTCGAAAAAAGATGATGACAGAGTTCTGTGTTATGTGACATTGACATGCAGTCATGAAGGACGAAGAAGTGGTTATTTGAAGTCACAATCGACAATGCAGACGGGATGTAAAGCCAGAATCTCTGCGGCATTTGATTATCATGGATTTTGGGTAATTAAAACAGTACACCTCGACCACAACCATAAACCAAGTCCTTCGAAATCAAGGTTGTATCGATGCAACAGAGAGTTAAGCACACATGTGAAACGGAAGATTGAAGTTAATGACATCGCAGGAATTTCGTTGCACAAAAGCTTCAACTCTGCAGTCAGTTGAAGTTGGCGGATATGAGAATCTCGCTTGCGTAGAAAAGGATTGTAGAAACTATATCGAACATGTGAGGCGATTATAACTTGGAGAAGGAGATGTTGCACAATACAATCTTACTTTTCAGAAATGCAATCACAATGCGCAGGATTTTACTTTAGTATTGATTTGGACGAAGAATCGCGGCTAAAGAATGTGTTTTCGGCAGACAATCGGTGTCGTCAAGCATATAAAGAGTTCGACGACATTGTTACATTTGACACCACTTACCTCACTAACAAATATGACATGCCATTTTCCCTATTTGTCGGTGTGAATCACCACGAACAATCAACACTGCTTGGTTATGGTTTGTTATCAATTGAGAACACAAATACATTTATTTGGCTATTCAGGACATGGCTTAAATGTATGCAGGGTAAAGCTCCTCATGGAATAATAATGAATCAAGACTGGACAATGCAAAATGGAATACAAGTAGTTTTCCCGAACATGAAGTATAGATGGTGTTTATGGCACATTATGAAGAAGTTGCCAAAATAAAATTGGCTATCACATGGATAAGGGATCTATATTCTCTGTTATACATGTATTGGTATATGATTCACAGTATATCGAAGAATTTGAAGACGATTGGAAAACAATGATAAATAAGTATGAGTTGTAAGACAATGATTGGTTATCGAGGCTCTACGAGAATAGAGGTCGATGGGTTCCTTGCTTTTTAAAAACAATATTTTGTGCCAGAATGTCAACAACAAAATGGTCGGAGAGTATGAATGCCTTTTTTAATGGATAGTGCATTCAAAGACATCGTTGAAGCAATTCATCAAACAGTATGAACGTGCACTACGAAACAAGGTTGAGAAGGAGTTTCAGGTTGATTTCAAGTTATTTTCTCAAATAGTCCCATGCGCAACAACCTATGAAATGGAAAAATAATTTCAGGCAGTGTACACCATTTCAAAATTCAGGAAAGTGCAATGTGAGTTCACGGGGAAGTATATTGTGACATAATGTCTGCTGTGGATGGTTGCTTGGGGACAATGTACGAGGTACGCGAGGATGTCTTATGCAGCAATCAACGAAAGAAAAAAAAAAAACACACAAAGTCTTATTTCATATGCAAAATTGTGAAATTGTATGCACTTGCCACTTGTTTGAGTTCTGAGGAATACTTTGCCGACATGCGATTGCAATACTTATCCGTAATAACAAAACTGTACTATCGGATAGGTATATACTTAGGTGATGGAGAAGGGATGTTAGCAAAGCACACACCAGGGTTGCTGTACTCTATGATGGGTTGGTAAGCACTCCTACACAATTGCGTTATGATAAAATGTGCAAGGCTTTTGCTTCCATTGCAGACCTAGCGGCAGAGGATGAAGGTCAGACACATGCTATAATGGAATGGATATAATTTCGACAGGAGGAGCTTCTGAGCTCAAGGTCGATTGGCATAAATAATGTCCAAATGCAGCGTAATATACAAATATCCTCGAATTATACCAGCTCGCAAAATAATGCCAGTTGCTCTTTACTTGATCCTAAAGTGGTGAGCAAGAAGGGTGTGCCTAGAAAACTTTGGAGCAAAGGCCCGTTGGAGTCAACTTCAAAGAAACCAAAGGTAAGTTTATATGTTATCCTATAAAAGTACATGGAATCCTACCACAGATTTTTAGTTGTGAGGATGTAAATGTAGCTAATATTCCATAAGGGTAATATTTCCAAGTAGATGAGAAATAAATATTATTTTGTCAAAACTAATAATAAAAGTAAATTAGTGCTCGAAGTTATTTTTAGAAAATCTAGAGTTTTAATCCAAAAAAAATATAAAATCAACCCCTGAATATGTTTATCTTGAGAATTAATGACTAAAAAGACTTTTTTTGAGTGGGTACAATGTATATGCAGGCTAAATTGGCTTCAAACAAAGGAAAGAGGCCAACTTCAAGGCGTTCTTGTCTACCAGATGGTGCATCATCCATTCAGGCATATCAAGAACAACATACTTCCGTGCCTACACCATTTTCCTATGCACAATTCTTGTTGGTGAGTATATTAAATTTATAATGTTCGTATGTATGAAGTTTCATTTGCTTTCTCTTTTAATGACGTAGGATGACCATGCAAGCCAAGCGTCTACACCTAGTACTACTTTTTCCAACGTGGTGAATCATCTTGTGCAAAATCATCCTGACTCTCCCTGATGAAAGATTATAATGGGATTGTATTTTGTTGTCTTTAGTGAAGCCATAACTTTTGCAAAAGAGGAAGACTGCTGACATGAAAGGGAGGAGAATGAATATTGGACTTTCATTTGCCAAGGGATTGATTGGATAATCATTAACTTTGTTTTTGTTTAATAGATTTGCAGAACTAAAAATTATGAATTATTGTAGTGCAAATAGTTGCCATGCCATATATCTGGAGAGGACAGTTTGTTTTCTTCTAGTGTACATGCTATGGAAATTTGTATTTTCACTGTTTTTTAATTGCAAATTTGTATGTTCAAGCTTGTATCAATTCCTTCAATTGTTTGGATTTAAGGATGATCTTGAGCCTAAAAAGTGGTAGGGAATTCGGTATTAATTGAAACTACGATTTAAGTCACAAGTGTTGTCAATTTCTCTGGGGCCATTTTGTTTATGGTGTTTATTTGGAATACCTTGTTTGTGAAAATTGATAAGAGCTTATTTGGGAGTAATTTTGAGAATTGATTTTTTGACCATTAGGAGAAAAGTGAGGTCCACCTGTGAAAGAAGAAGTCAAATATTACAGCTAAAATAATAAAATAACGGTCAAAAAATCAATTTTTTGGATGAAAAAATCGGGCCCAAACAGGCTCTAAACTCCATTATGTTCTCATTGATGGCATATCCGTTCAAAACAAACAGTACACTATAAAATAGAAAATAAAAGAGAACCTCGAATGATAATGCATGTTGTGTGATTGTGAAGCAAATCCGTCAAATCGACACAAAATTTAGCTTTAAGCCATGATGCAATTGTTAAATTTACAAAATGTTGAAACTGACATTTCCTTTTTCTCCACACTTGAACACAAAATTCGATGCACAGACGCAAACATCCACTTTTAATCAAGCCAGTGCCTTGCATTTGGTGTTCTCTTCGGTGCTCGATTTGCCCATGCGGATCGTCACGTTCATGGATATGTGGAGTTCTTGGTCATTGTTAAGCTGAACTTGCGATTGAAACATATGAGACGTATCGTCAACTGATTCGATCGGCTTTGATTGAGGCAACCACAAATGATAAGTGTTGAGCCTGGCTTTGGAAAAACTTCTTCAACATCAAATGCATTATATATACTCTATTTTGCAATGTACTCAGTTTCTACTCACTAAATACACTCATACATCAGAGGCCAAATTCTATTATGACAGTATATTCAGGGGCGGACCCACATGGGGTCATGTGGGGTCAAATGACCCCACAGTTTTCTGGAATTTTTTTTTTTTTTTTTTTTTTT